GTAAACTGTTGGTTAGACGGATTCAACCTCACCTTCATCTTTTGATTTCTCCAAATCAATCTGCTTTTATCCAAGGTCGTGGGATTACTGACAATATTATGCTTGCTCAAGAACTTATTTTGGATATTGATAAGAGATGCAGAGGAGACAACATGGTCACTAAATTGGATATTCGTAAAGCTTATGACTCTATTAGTTGAGATTTTATTCTTTATGTCCTCAGGGCTCAGGGTTTCTCTCAGGCATTTTGCAAATTTATACATTCCTGGCTTCAATGTAATAAATACAGTATTCTCATCAACGGTCATTCTCGTGGGTTCTTTAGTGCGGGGCGTGGGATTAAGAAGGGTGACCCCTTATCCCCTACGATTTTCATCTTGATCTTTGATTACTTCTTTCGCCTTATAAATGAACTTTATAGGCAAACTCTCACTTTGCATTATGCTCATAAATCCAATACTTTGGTAACATATTTGGCATATGCAGATGATATTATTTTGTTTTCTAATGCTAGTAAACAAGTGGTAAGGAAAATATATCGGTTATTGGAAGATTTCTAATCTGTTTCTGGGCTTCTCTTTAGTGCAAATAAATGTCACTTATACATAAGGAATACCGTTAATCTGTCTAATGCAAGCTGGATTGTCAATTTCACTGGTTTCTCTCTCTACTCTCCCGCTAAAATATTTGGGGGTTAACTTACTCAAGGGCAGGAAAAAACATACTCAGTTTGATAAAGTGGTGTAAAAGGTGCGGAAAAGAATTTTTGATTGGAAAAACAATTTCCTGTCATTTTGTGGTGGAATTACTTTGCTTAAGAGCATCCTGCAATTTCTTCCTTTGTATGCTTTACAAGTCATCCAAATAAAAAAGAGCACCCAATTGATCCTTGAAAGATGTTTTAACAAGTTTTTATGGGTGGGAAACCACTTTGGTAGAAGATGGATGCCTTGGAAGAATATCTGCAAACCAAATTATGCTGGGTGTTTGGGGTTCGGTTCAAATCACTTCATCATATTGCTGATGTAAATCTTTTAAACTTTGGTTTAAATTTCAGAAAGGGGACTACCTGTGGGCTTTGTTCATGCTTGGTAAATATTGTCAGAGTACCCACCCTGCTTTGGTTAATTGGCAGTTGGGTGACTCTGGGGTGTGGAAAAGATTGCTTCAAATTAGAGAATGGGCCAATGATTTTATTTACTGGGAGATGGGGTGTGGTAACATTTTCTTTTGGCATGACTGTTGGTCCCATGTTACGCTACGCTAGACTTGAGGGATGCGCAGACTTGAGGGATGCGCGATATGCTAGCCTTCTTGTTTGTGACGCGTGGGTTGATGGTAATTGGAACTTTCCTCTTCTTGTCAGTCTGGTGGGGTCGGAGGGGGCTAATTTTATTGCTTCAATTCTCTTGGAGTCTCATTCACAAGACACTCCGACTTTGAAATTGACCTCCTTGTGTTCGGTCACCAAGTCCTTATATTCTGCTCTACATAATTTTAATAAAATTTCCTGGGGAGAGAGTGTTTGGAGTTGGGCTTTAACTCCCTCCATGTTCTTCTTGGCTTGGAGGATCTTTCACTTTGTTATTCCTTGCGACGATATTTTGAAATTGAAGGGGTTGAGACTTGCTTCGCTTTGTTTGTTGTGCAATGCGGCGGAGTAGTCTATTGAGCACCTATTTTTCTTATGTCCTTATTCACGGTTTATTTGGCGGAAGGCTGATCTTTGGCTTGGTATTGATTTGTCTCTTGCTCGGAATCTACTTGGCACCATTTAGGTTTGTAACCCGGATAGGAAACATAAACATTTCTTGCAAATTTATCTTTACATTATTTGTTGGTTTATTTGGATGGCCCGTAATGATATGGAGCATGAGGGTAAAGTCATTCTAAGTACGACGGTTTTTGCAAATATCATCACTTATGTTAACAAACTTTGTAAGGTGGGAGCTGCTAAAGACAGCTTCTTCTCGGGCATTTCTTATTTTGAATCTATGGGGCCAGCGATTATGGTTGGGGTAGAATACCGCAACTCCCAGTTTTGGTGAGATGGCGGTCTCCTCCCATAGGGTGGGTGAAGATTAAAATCGATGGGAGCTGGAAAACTTGTAATGCTGGCTGTGGGGGCTTTGCTAGAAATAATGTCGGGGACTATTCGCTTCTTTTCTTCTCCCTATTTCTCTGATACTCCTTTTTAAGTGGAGGCTAGGGTCATGTTGATGGCTGTCATGATTGCTTTATCTCTTAATTGGCAGTTTATTATCATTGAGAGTGACTCTCGTATTTTGGTTGATATTCTTGTTGGTGGGGCTGATGCATTGTATTAAGAGAATTAAACTTATATTCTCTCATATTTCTGTTATTTGGAGGTTCAGTCATCGTGAGGGGAATAGACCCGCCAATTGACTTGTTGTTGTTGGTAGTGCAAATAATAATAGTTGGGTTGGCATGTTCGTCGTGATTGCTCTCGGTAGCCTAGCTATTTGGTCAAAATTTATGGTAGAGATTGTCCTGCTCTCATGGTTATTGGATAATTTTCCAGTATGGAAGCATTTGGCTTGTTCGAGGTCGGTTCCTGTACTTATCCCCTTTTCTGCTCATGTTACTGATTCTATTATTATTTCTGTTTTTTTTCTCTATGGTATTGGGTTGTTTTGTTATTGACACTGCCTGTTCAATTTTGACATCCGACTCCCTCTCTTGCCCGGTTATGCTGCTGCTCTGTCTCTTCAATTATTGTTGGTTTGCTTACTGTTTGCGCCCCTTCTTCTGTTCGAGGCTTCTGCTTGGCAAGGACTGCATCGTGGTGTACTGGAGTTTCGTCAAGGCTCGCTCTTTTCTCCATATTTTCATGAGGACTCTTACTGTGATTGGATTGGGATCCCTTGTTCTTTTTGCTATACGTTTTGGTTTTCTTTGCTTTGGTATACATGCTATACATTTTGGTTTTCTTTTGCTTCGGTATACATGTATGGATTTCTTGGTATTTACTTATTTCTTTGATTTTTGGGCGTTGAGTTGTAATGATAGAGATGGAACCCCTTGGGATTGAGTTTTTTTTCTTGGGTTTTTTAGATGTGGGGATCCGTCTCCACTCCACAATTTGTACTTTTGTTTCAATGAATATATAGGGAGCCGTATAATGCTCATTCTCTAATATATATATATATATATAAATGTTTGTATGTGCATGCTAAGAGGAGTTCACCCCCCTTATGATGAAGGTAAGAGAAGCCAGTGTAACTGCGCGCATAGATGTTATCCTGCCACCTCGACAATTGCGATGTTTAGAGTGCTAACTACTAAGTCAATGAGAGAATATCGATCAGAGGTGAGTAGTAACATTTCCATCTCAGACAATCGTGTAAATTAGATCATGGACCGTTATGCCAACGAGATAATATTGGTTAGGAGTATGTTAGATTATGTTTTGACGGTGCTCTAAGACAAATACGAATTCTAATAGGATTAAGTGAACATAAAGTTAAAGATTAAACCTTGAAGAGTACAGTTAAAGTTAATGCATGTTGATGTTTAGGTTATTTTCGTTGAATAAATGTCATGAACATATACATTTGATTATAATAAGATCTTCTAGAGTGAAATATGAGATACCCACATGCTTATTATTTTCTTTTCCTTGAGTTATTTTAGTTTAGAAGGGTGATTGCTTCACTAGGTTATTTTAGATAACACATTATATTATTTTAATAATTTTTCAAGTTTAAACTTTTAAATAAGATAAATACTAGATGAGCTAATGTGTGCAGGAGGTGAGAATAATAATAAAAAATATAAAATATTTAGTTGTTAATTAAATTACTTTCTTTAGTGGATCTTTTATGACTATTTGAATATTAAACTGTTAATGATAAACATAGAATAATGGAAAATTTAATTCCACTGTTGAACGTCTATTCCTACCTTGATTAATTTTATGCCCTGAGCCGGATCGTGATGGGTTCGTGGCCTAGTGATTGAAGCAAATTGTTTCTTTAAGATTATGAATTTGAGCCCTACAATATGGATTTACTGCTCATTAAGAAAACCCAAATAATATATTTTTTTCCTCAAATTAAACCGAAATAATTGTTCAGCAGCTTTGCAAACGAACTTCAGATGATATGCCAATTGATTTTTTATTTTTCTTTGCTGACTAAATTCTTCTTAAGCTTGATCGATATTGCAGAGTAAGTTGTTAATATTGAGTAAATTTTATTTCTTGATGCAGCTAATTATACAATTTAGCATTATCTGTTCGCTAAGTGATTCTCAGTTGCCTATGCTTTATAAGCTATATTCTGCTCATGACCTCCTAATGCTATTTGAAATCTTATGAATTTTCTGCAAGTCAAAAACATATAAACTAATATATTTTTTTCTGCATATAGCAGTCTTTTAAATCCTTGCTGTACAAGCAGTGCCTATACATCAAAGCAATGAAATGTGGGTTCCTTGTCAAAAATTTGCCAATGCAATCCTTCGAAAGTCAATAGTATTTTCTATGAGTAAAAAAAACATGCAGGTTTCTGTTTTCTAGTTTTAATTATGCAATCTAACAAACTTGCTTCCTAAGGGCTTGTTTGGAATCACTTCTATTATTTATTTTTTATTTTTATTTTTTTGCTTTTATTTTAAAAACATGTTTGTTTAGTGCATTTTTTGCTTGTTTTTATTTTTTATTTTAAAAAATAAATTAACTTGTTTTTAAAGACACTTAAAACATCTAAAATTTTTATTTTAGTGTTTTTAAAAATAATTCACCTTATTAGAACATATCAAATATGTTTCATGGTTAAAACATAAATAAAACAAAACAAAAATAAAAAATAAAAAATAAAAAATAAAATCTAGAAGATATCCCAAACTGCCCCCTATGTACTACTAAATATGTTTTGGAATATACCCTTTAGATAAACACTTTATCTATTTGCCAGTCAAAACTATTATTTATTACTTGTAAATAAAATTTCAGAATGCAATGACTTCAACATAAGTACCTCTTCTGCAATTTTGCCTGCTTCAGCATAGGCACCCTCACCTTTCTTGGCCAAACCAGCCATCACCACAGCATATGTGCCACCAGCAACGACAATCAATGGAACGACAGCCAAGGTGAGAAGTGTGAGCTGCCATACTGAGGTAAATCCTACGACAAACCCGACTAAAAACTGAGATAGATACCGCACACAGTGACCAGTCTGCATATAACGTGGAGAGAAAGTTCAGTTTTCACTCCTTTTCGCAGTGAATTACCAAACCATTAAGTTTATCATAATTCATGTCATTTAATAGAAGGCATTCGTAACATGTTTTTGTGTTATTGTCAAGGGAAAAACAGGGTACTATTGTTACCTTATCACCAATGGCATCCTGCACATGTATAGCATCACTTGTTATATGAGAAATTATGTTTTCATCTCTTGCATCTGTATCAAAGAAGCTGATGTCTTGTTGTAGAATGGACTGGATATATTTGACCCTAAGACGTGCTGTCTGCCTCTCTCCAGTCTGCATCCAGAATGCTACCCCTGTATTTACATCATACATTAGAGTGCTGGCTCCCGCATTGCTTAAAATATTTGAAAGTTCTGCATATATATCACTCACTTCCTATTTTTTAACATATCCAACACCTAAACTTTATTTTTTACATGAATACACTTTAACTTTGTATATTTTGCTTATTAAAAGTTAAAATGGTGGTATTTTTTTTATTTTTTTATGTGATGTGATATGAATGTTTTGGGTGTTATAAATGTAAATATGAAAGTTTTGGTATTAAATATGTAAATACATAAAAAAAATGAGTGGTATGTATGTAGATGCCAAAAGCTACTGAAGAATTCAATTTTGAGGACACACCTATCCATGCAGATATCATGACCACAGCTCCTAAATAGACCAACTCCAGTGCATGCTGCAATGATGGATCGAGTCAGCATGTTTATAGAACCATTACTGAAAAATAAAATGCTGTTATCTGCTTGTGAAAGTTTAACGAGCCCTTCAGAGAATTTGCATTATGAACAGAAGAAACTCTCAATTTTACAGGCAATTCGTTGCTTTAGTGTTGCATTAATTCTGTCCTAAATTGTTTGTCTTCCTTCTATGTGTATAGCATTGGCTTTTGAAATCTTTTAAAGTAAACAACCGTTTCTGCGCAATGTATTAGATTTCTTTTTTTTACAAATTTGTTCATTTATACCAAAGTTATGAATATACTTTCAGCAACAGCATTTGGTACTTATTCTTTGTCTTTATGCAAATGCTCAACCTGTACAAGTGAAACTTAATTGGACTTGAGCTTTTTTCACCGTCCTGAAATCCTAATTTATTTTCAATCTAGTGGATTCCCTTCTAGGTTTCTGGTATAGTAAATCAAATTTGCTTGGCTATCCTAGCTAAGGAATCATCAGTGAAAATTTGCAAATTTTAAGGGATAGCTTGTACAAAGTTACTAATCTTACACTTCTACCAATTCAAGGCAGAATTTTGGCAGTTATTCTTAAAAGCTCCATCAAATTATGACTTGCTATCTGACACTCAACTTTAAAAGAGCAATAAGTACTTGAGGAAAATTTTAGCACTTTTTTCTTCATCCATTTGCTTCTATTTCTCTTCCTTCAAAAACACTTGTAGTAGTACCTCCATCCTAATGATGTCTTGATATAAGGTAACTCTACCTGCATTCCTTCTACTTCAACATTAGAATATGCAAAATTAGAGTAAATATTGACTAGGCATCACACAGTTAAATTTTTATGACAGAAATAGAAAGATTAAAATGAGATATTATGATAGAAAGATCTATTCATTCCCTCTCTATTTTTCTCCTTGCTCTTTTGAGTAATTTCATCTACTAATGTGTTTTCCCCTAACAGAAAAGCTAGTACAAGGAATTTGACTTCTTAGCACCCATTTAACCTTTGAAACTTTGTCAGAAAGCCTCTGAGGATTGGATGAAAGCGAACCCAATGAATCAATAAGCTTCCCAAAGAGAACGAAGAACACAGGAAGTGCAGCGCCATGAATGCAGGACCCAATGCTTCCAAAGAACATCAAAAGAAAGTCCAGTCTGTCTGCGAAGTAGAAAAGGCTACAACCCGGTGATGCCGGCCGCCTGAGCAACCTTCCTTGTTCTGGTGATTCCATGCTTTTCCGTTGAGGAGTTTCACTGGCGGCAACTACAGAGAGCTCAATGGTCTCCTTCATGTCTTGAGCAGCCATGTGCTTTTTGGTTGTTTGAGGTAAGGGACACAGGTAAATCTGACGAACATGTCTTAGCCCTTTGCTCCGTTCTTCTATATCCCGTGATGCTTAAATGCCTTCAACTAACCCATGCTATATCCAGCTGACCAACTAACTCATCTTTTATGGGATGTTTTGGTCATAAGTTTTTTCTGGATACTAATTCTAGGGGGACCAGTAAGTGTGGCCAGAGAGGACGACTCTTGCCTGTCATCCATTTGTTCACGAGGAGTGCAATGGCTGTGGGACCAAGCATCCTAAGGTTCAACTTCTTTCATTCTTTCTTAGCCTGTCATATTATTGTTGTTTTACTCCATTTTCATTAAAAAATAATCTGCACAAAATTAAAATGTGTCTACTTCTTTTTCTGATTAATTAAAATAAGTGATTGCACTTAATTTTGGTTGGAGTGTGATTGGGGAAGTGGACTCTGTTTGGCTATTTCTTTAGATTTCTCTAGAGAGAAATGCTTTATTTTATAGAGCATATGGAGGTTTTGAGGATTAGAAAAAAGATATGTACCATATTAATATTTCGAAACCAAAAAAAGGCATAGGCTTAATTCTCTTGGTATAGTAAGAAAGACATATTTGGGAAAGGTTATATTGGATGATACCTATTTAGATCATCATAAATATGAATATTATCTCACTGTTGTCAGTCCTTTCACCAGTGAATGCTGAAACTAGCTACTTCCCAAACCTCCCCGTCTAGATCTGGCTAAAAAAGATAGCCAATGATTTACCATCCATCGCACTCATATAGCTGCATGATCGGATCAAAAATTGGATCAAACCGTTTTGAATGGTCGCCTCGAACATAGGGCATAATACAACTATAAAACCTCTTGTTTAACTATTTAATTACAAAGTTGAATGGTTTTTTGTTAAAGCCAAGTTGTATTATAGTTTTTTTAAGTTTCTACCTCTTTTTTCATTGTGTCATGGCTTCTTCTCTTTCTGTACTAAAGAGAAAACCTCCACTATCAATACCATAATCAAATTTAATGGGACTAATTCTTTTGTGATTGTGAATCTCTCACTTTCTTACTGTCTGTCATTATAAACTTAATCTCCTTGTTACATCTCATCCGAATAATAATTACACAATAAAGTTTTCTTAATGACAACTATCTAACTGTATGTTCCTTAGTTGGTTAATCAGTAGTCTTGAATCATTTATTACCACCATTGTAATTTGTAAGATATAACTAGGAGAATATGGGGTTTTCTTCATTCCATTTGGTTTTAGCTACCTAATATTTGTATTGTTTGCTTGTTCTAATTAGATATCTTATCCATACAGCATGGTAATATGCAAATCATAAAAGAGTTCAGATTAGGTTTATAATATCAGTCTTATAAATGTAAATATTGAACTTTAGGTGTTTGATATATAAATGCATAAAAATTGTGGTACGTACGTAGGGCTGCAAACGAGCCGAGCTTGAGTGAGCTCATGCTTGGGTTGTGCTCGGATTGTTCAAAATTGGCTCATGTTCGAAATTGGCCGGTGTTCGAAATTGCTCGTGAATAATGTGTTCATGTTCAGCTTGATTTACATATTCTTGTTTGTGCTCGGCTCGAAATTGACTTATTTGAATTATTTAGAAAAAAAATAGATGTAGGGTGTTGGGTTCAAACCCACACCAACTCGGTGCAATAAATGGCGCAGAATCACATGACCATACAAGTTGTTATGATTTAAATTTAGATTTAAATATATATGATATATTATTATATAAATAATATATATAATATTTTTATTTCAAATTAAAACAAGTTGAACATGATCAAAGAAAGGGTAATTCGTGTTCAACTTCTTTATAATTTGAGCTTAGAAATTTGTTCATGTTCTGCTTGTTTACTTAAAGAACGATTCGAACACATGCTACTTAACGAACCAAACACGAGCCGTTCACGAAAAGCGAGCCTTTTTTACAGCCTTATATGTATGTGAATTTCCTTAAACATAAGTCCTCACATAATTATTTATTTCACAATTTTATCCCTCCCATTTAATTATTTACAAGCAATTTTTCTTCCAAAAATAATCAGATAATCAACAGGAAAGAATTAGGATTCAAAAGCTGCTCTTAAATAATGCAGCTAATGCAGTTGAATGCATCAAATGTCCAAAATTGCAGTTCTTGGTCTCCATTATGGAAAATTACAACTTCTAGAAATATTGGTAAATTGGTAAATTAATCATACATAAACTTTTGGTAATTTAACTCATATTTATTTTTTTATTTCATAAAACCATATTATTGGTTGTAATTAATTGCCCTAAAATATAGTTAGGCTGTCAACAGAGGGCAATAAATTAAAAAAAAAAAATTCAAATTAATTTATTTGTAAAATCAAAACTTTTGGCCAGAAATATTTTGATCAATTAAAATTTAAAATTAAATTAATTTTAAGATGATAGTAATCAATAAAAAATCAATTAAAATTTATTTAATATTTATTTTTGTAATATAATATTTTATATTTATTTTTAAATATTAATTTAATGATTTTGAGACTCATCCTGGTAAGAAATGGATGTGTTGTATGTAAAATAATTTCTTATAGCATGAATACATTTATCAATTAAATTTTGGAATTTTTTTCTAGAAAATTAAGTGCTACATTAAATAAGGAGGGAAAAAAAATGCTGCATTAGATAACTAGTTTAATGGCCGCCTTATTTGCTTAATATAAAAATGGGACATTTAGATATACACCACCAAATTCTTATGTATTTACCTATCCAGAATCTAAATTTTACTTTTTACATTTATACCAACCAATAGTCTTATATCACAAAAAAAAGAATCACTTGTTCAACTTTAAGGGTATGTTTGGCGCAGCTTATCTCTGTGTTTCGCATTTTTGGAACCCCTGGTAGCGTTTGGATAATGCGTTGGGGCCAGCGGTGAACGAACACGTGTAAGGGTTTATTTTAATATTAGTTCTTTTGTCCGCCGCTCTCATTATCCTGCGTTCCGCATTTACTCACAGATTATTACTCGTCTGCCCGTCTTGTCGTCGTCGCCCTAGATCTGCAATCAGACTCCCCTGATCTCGCCTCTGCTCCTCGATCCCGTGTCGCTGTTGTTACCCTAACTCTGCGATCGGACTCCTCGATCCCGTGCACTCGGTCGGACTCCTCGATCCCGTGCACTCTTTTGCCCTCCCATTTCCCGTTTGGCATTAGGTTGGTGGATCGAAAGTTGTTTGAAGTTTTTGTAGGTATCTCCTCTTTCCTGTAGAGAAATGCTATTTGTATTGTTGCCTGGGATTGTATGAATTATGATGAGTTGGGAAATGCTATTAATAGGTTGTGTTGGGCAATGCTTTTAGTGGGCAACAATTTTTTATCATGTGTTACGGAGATTTCTTCGTGCAATTTCTTCATACTTAATTGTTTACGAAATTTTTGATCCTTCGTATTACTGAGATCCTTCGTCTAAAATATCGCAGACTCCCTGTGATCATTTCCTGTGCTGTCATATGAAAGATTTGTTTGGTATAATGGGTTTTTAAGAAAAAAATTCAGATTTTAGGTATGTGAATATATAGGAATTGGCTTATATGCATGCAAACACAAAGCTTTATATTTTTAAGGGGTGATGGGAATTATGATGCTGCTAGTGGAAAATAACTTAGCATAATATTTTATTGGCATTAATGAAGCATTAATGAAGTATGAATGTGAAGCATAATTATGTCCCAAGTGAAAATGAATTGGGGGCAGAACTTCTGCTAGTTGAAAATATTTTACGAGAGAAGACTTTTTATTTTAAAAGGAGATGATTGGTGGGTTATTTAAAAGGAAATGAATGCCATTTTATTTCCCTGAGGTAGATGGGTTAAATTCTTTAACTCCTCTCATGCAACATATATAGTACAGTAACGTTTGCTTTTGCATATGTAAATATATAAGATTTGGAATGAAGATTATGAATCTATTTCTTCATCAACTATATATCTATTTTCTTTTCTAATACCCCTATCTTCATTGGCTTATCATGTAGTTATTGTGGTATAAAATAGAAGTACACACCTATGGGATGTAGCCGCGATTGTAATGAGGGTTGACATCCTTTCTATGCGATGTAGTAGTTATTGCCATCCTCATTTTGTCAGTTTTATAAACCATTTGCCAGAATGAGGTGAAATTTGACAATGTTAGTTTGGCATTGTTGCATAAAATAGCACAAGTTTTTTAAATTTGGGAATTTCATTTTTCTGATTCGAGAAATATGCAAAGGTTTTTTAAAAACAGCTATAAAAGAGATGTTGGGGTTTATTTTTGCCAGCTATATTCCTTTATCATTTTAAGGTTGAAAAACAACTATAAAAGAGCTCATATATGGAGTACATAAGTTTCATTTTGCTTGTGGCCATCAAGAACAAAAGGGGCTTTTTCATTTCCCTTGGTGCAGGCTTGTGTTTTCTTCAATCATCTGGAAGAGATGCTGGGGTTTATTTGCTTCAATCGTTTGAAAGGCAGATTTTTTAAGTCATGTTTTTATTAGTAGTTATAAAGCACAGTTTGATTACAAAATTCAGTTTGTGGTTTAGCTAAACAGAGATGTTGGAGTTTATTTGCTTGCTGGGTTGCATTTGATATTCTGCAGTTGTAATTGCTGCAGTTTGAGTACCAGATGAATCTGTTTTGGTTCCTGTTTTTTTTGTGAAAGGATGAAAGAATTTTAATGCTATGTATGGAGCTTGTTTAATTGAGAGCATATTGTAGTAAACTTCAATTAAGGTTCATAGCTATGTAATCTTACAAATTTGCTTAATAAAACTTTTGTGAATTGCCTTCTGTGGATGTAGGCCATTGGCCGAACCAAAAAAATCTCCCGCTTACTTCGTTTACTTGTTTTTTTCTTTTTATTTGTAAATTGCAACGTTGTGAAAATGATGTTGGTTGTCGGTGTTTATTTATAATTTGTTCTTTCTTGAAATTGTAAAGGATTATTTTATAAGTTGTGGAATTGATCTGAATGAAGTTGATTATTTTTTTTGCACATTTAGAAAGTACTTAATTTCCTTTGTTCACTATAGTTTCAACATGTCTAAGGCAACTGAAGGGGGTCCGTCCGCAATGTGGGATAAAGAAGTAATAAATATTTTTTGTGATCTATGTATTAAAGAAATTGAACCGGGGAACGGGCCAACCA